ATATGAAACAAACTGTGTGCATATGAAACAAACTGTGTGCATATGAAACAAACTGTGTATGTTCACCCTCGTGAAGCTCAGAAACACACTCTTGCATATTCAGCTCGACGCTGCTCTGTGTGTGTGACAGTGCTGTAAACTGTGCTCCTGCATCAGGGTGCCACAAATATTCACTGATGACCTCGTCACCTTGCTACACACAAAAACATGTTGTGAGTCACACATTAAACTACACCCACACCTCACAGGAGCGTTTGGACTCTTTGATTTAACCATTAGAGGTGCAGGGTTTTATCAAGCAACTTACAAAAATCCTCGATACAAATGATTTACTTCAGTCATTTAACAGAAATCGATTTAGGAGAACACGTGTGAATAAAAAGTGTTAGAAAATTAAAAATGGGCCGTCCCACTTTTTTCACCAAAAAGGGGCGCATCGGTCAGACTCAGTCATATTTATTTCATGGCTTTAGTAACATTATGTTACAGATTTAGATCAATAAATTACATTGTATCAATTAAACTGTATTAATATTTTAAAATATAAAAGCTTTTTCCCCACCGCACAGATCAGTAAAATGCACACGTGCCAGTAAAACTCTGAGCATCTGACAGCTGGACGCTGAATTAGCATTAATTATTAACATCGACACCATCAGCGGATCTATTTTCTGCTCAACAAGCATCACTTTAAAGCACAGGACAAACCTCAGTCCTTAAAATGTCGATATGCTTTTTGCATCCCAACTCTGCATGTATGCCATGTGATATTTTCCTTTATAAAGTGCTTTCCACCAAAGTGTTCTAATATAGCAGCTATGCCATTTTTACAGACGTGTGAATTCCCATTAGACCTTTGGGCACTGCGCTTGGCCTTTTACTTTCAGATTGACTCGTTGGTCAGGTTTATGCAATAAGAATAACTTGGTTAGTGTTAGGAACAGACTGTGGTTTTGGTTCAAATGCCACAGTGTAACAACAGCTGCTCCATTAAGCCCACAGCCAGTCATCTCCAGGGCCTGTAAACAACCAGTTGTTGAGTGAAGTACTCATTTTATTTAAACTAAAGGAAACTAAAACTAAACAAGCATTTATAAGAAAACTGTTTTTAATGATGGTCCTTCTACTCTTACTGGTTTCTTTGGTTTTTCATAACTCACCATCGTGTGTTTCTTGTTCAGGTGCTTCTTCTTTTTCCCTTGCGAGTGAGCCAAGCGGGGGTTGTTCTCCTGGTCTGAGGACTGGTGGTGGAAATTGTTCCTGCAGGGCTCCAGGCTCAGGCCATTGGGAACCCTAGAAGGGGTTTTCTTATGCAGGGATCCTGCCTGGCTGTCTCTGCCTTCCTGAGGCTTTAGCGTCATGTTCTTCTAGGAAGAAAAACAGAACAAGACAAAGCTTTTATTAGAGTCAAAACAAGTATTTCATCTTCGTGCAAGCAATGTACTACAGACTGTATCAGACAGACAACTGGCCTGTAAGAAGCCTGCAGTCACACCAACAATCAGCAGTTAAATGTGTGTTTGACTGATTTTTTTATATCTATGAAAAGCTGCTCATTACACACTGCAGAGCTCAAAAACAGCTGAATACCTTTTCACAAAAGCCCATTTTGACAGATAGCAAATCTCCTCTACAATAAGCAGAGAGGATTTGCTCTAAATTGAAGGGCTATCATGCAGAAAGGCTTCGATGTTCCATCACTAAATTTTCTCCAACAAAGAATAAAAGAAAAAGGTCACTGACAGTTTTTTTCCTTTTCTTAAAGAACACAGTGGAGGTTCCAGCGAATGCCAGGTGGATTTAAACCATGGATGTGACACTTTATTGCTATGTCTCACGCAACGCTACACAACCTTTTGTTTCAGTCACTGTAGCAGCCACAACCACAAAGTCCATGTTGACATATTTTAAATGGATTTAATTTTTTTAAATTTATTATATTTTCAGCTCATTCTCTTCGATCCTTTTTCCCTCCCGCCTGTCAGCTCAGACATTACCATGTATGTGCACATGGACTGTAATAACACAAGTGACACAAATGGAAACCAATAAATACACTGAAAAAGAGCCTGTAGTATATTTATAGAGCTCATGTTGGAAAGGAAAGGTGTCTGGAGCAACATCGCATTCAGATCACAGATTACAAAAGACAAGACGAGCTTTTCAAGGGATTTTTAAGTGTTTCTTCTTGTGTAGTCACTGAGTGGACAGACTGTAATTGCTTTGATTAACAGGCTTCTTATCGTGAAGGTGAAAGGTCACGGGAGTGAACCCTCTCTGTGGAACATGACTTGAACAGATATTCATAGCTACTGGATGACCTGCTAATGAAAGGTGACTCATTCCTCTGTGAGGCTGATAAATAAATGAAACACATGACACCACGAATATTCATGTTCCAAGGATGAAGTGCGATGACTTTACCGTTCTTCTTAACTCTCATGTGAAAACCTGATCATCCACTTCAAATTTAGCTAACATGTTCATAGAGCAACTGTAAAAACATG